GCGCATTTAAAAATTTTAATTTTCATAAACAAGTAACTATGATTGTTTAAAAGTAGTTTCAAGTAAGATAGTACCTACATAAACAAACATAACGACTATTATCGTTTATGTGTATAATATCTTTTGAAGTGAAAGAAACAACCTAATGATATATTTATTATAACTTGAAAAATAAACTAAACAATCATCATCATCATATAACGGGGGTCCTACGGCGATTGCCGCTTCCCGCATTTCAGCCTCCATCTTTTCCTATCTCCCCAATCTCCCTCTTCTAAGCCTCTAGATTGCATTGTTTTTGTAATTTCTCTTCTCCAGGAATTTGGTGGTCTTCCCCTTTTCCTTCTTTCTGGCGGAACATACATTAAGGCTTTCTTTGGCCACCGCTCCTCCTCCATTCTCATCACGTGACCATACCATTGTAATTGCCTTCCTTGTATTCTATCTGAAAGAGTATCTCTAATTCCTGTACGGTTTCGTATTTCCTCATTCCTGATTCTTTCCATTCTCGATACTCGACATGACCTTCTAAGATAATCCATTTCCACAACGTCTACTTTATCTCGTTCATTCTTTGTCATCGTCCAACATTCGGCACCATATGTGGTAATTGGTTCTACAATTTTATTGCTCTGTATACGCGAAGTTTGGTATGCATCTTTATTTTATTAGACCACAGTAATGAATTCAGTATTCGGATGCATTTTTTCCCTTGGGTTATTCGGTTTTGTACATCTATCATAACTCTGCCATCTGCTGATATGATGCTTCCTAGATATTTATACTGGTTGCAGCCTTTTATGACTGCGTTTTCAAGCCTCAGATCTGTGGTATTTCCTCCAATTTTTAAATATTCTGTTTTAAATATTCTGTTCTAAACTAAACAATACAAATAGTAAATCGGACTTACATTTACATTACACGTTATTATTAAATCGCGAATAGTCTAAATTGACATAAAAACTATTGTCCTGTGTTAAATATTGTCCTGTTAATGCGAAGTAACTCTCAGTTACTCCAGATGTCCAGAGGTCAGTAGTAATACAGATATTTTCTACTTCTTTAACAACTTGCGATCTAATAATTTGCTCACTTTTGACATAACATTCCTGAAGTAATGAACCTGACAAAGTTTTTCTTGTTGGCGGTTTATATCCAGGAATCCACCCTGCAAACTTTTTAAAAGCTGGTTCTTTAACTATGGAAAACGGATGAAACGAAAAGTTTAGTAAATTTTGAAAATCAATCAGTCCAAGAAAAAGAAACTGATAAAGATGACTTAAGTCCATGGTGTATTTTTGATGAATTAATTGGACATGACTCATCTAAACATACACCTGTATCGAGAGGTATAAAAGAAGTCGACATGTAATTGTGTGATGATATATTACCCACAAACAATTTCGAACGGAGATTGGAACTGTCCATTACCGTGGTGAAAAAACCATCGCCATGTATATCGTAACTTAACCACTATATTCATAAAATGTTGTAGTATTGTAACAAAATCTTTTCCTTGTGAACACATGTTTAACATCTGGTATAATTTTAAATAAAAGAAGAACGCGATTAACAAGAAAAGTGGAAAAACTTATGTTTTTAAATGTCAATTTAGACGATTCGCGATTTAATAATGTGTAATGTAAATGTAACTATTTAAGTACCATTTGTATTATTTAATTTATTTTTCAAGTTACAATAAATATATCCTTCGTTAGGTTCTTTTATTTCAATACTTATACACATAAACGATAATAGCCAATATCGATACATTTTTGGCAAAGTAACGTAAGTGACATTTTTGGCGAAAATAATGTTTTTCAATTAAACTAATGCTATTACTGTTACAAAGGTACTGAAAGAGTGTAGTAAACCTAGATTTACTTTAAACCTTTTTTAGGACAAGTTTTTTCAGTCATAATTTAAATAAGTTTAAGCAGGTTGAATTAAAAAATTGTTTTTTCTACAAATCGTTTTTGGTGACTTACGTTACTTTGCCAAAAATGTATCGATATGTTTGTGTACTCGCTAATTTGAATACTGGTAAACAATCAACTAGTTACAGTTTACGAAAAACGGTTCCGATAAAAATTAAAAAAACGAGAGGACCCACCTCTAGTTTTTTAGGTATATTAGGATCGGAACCAGAGAATATCTGATCGGAACTAATCGTCTCACTAATGGGCAATGGCCAATGAGTGTTAAAAGAATTTTAGGAGGGGAGACGAAGGGGAAATATGATTGTTATCTTTGTCTAATTCGCTGAAAATATGATTTTATATCTGCGTTAGATATACTGTTAAATTTTACCATACCGACCTTAAAATTTTACCTACACTGTATATGTATATATATATATATATATATATACATATATATGTATATATATATATATATATATATATATATATATATATAGTGCACTCGTAAGTGATTGGGATGTTTTCAGTCAATTTTGAGATAAAAAAGATAAAAGTTGTGCTACTTTATCTATTTAATGAAGACGTTTCGCCCACTATTCACTGAGCATCATCAGTTCGTCTAAAAGAGTGTTATAAGCGATACATCTAATATGAGAAACAATTAAGTAAATGATCTTACCTTTAAAATATCTGTAGCTTTAAAATGGTATTAATTTGAAGAAACATCAAAATAAGGCAAACATTAATCTAGTAAATACAACGGCAAAAAAAACAACACAGAATTACAGAACGCCGGAAGATTCTCAATTTATGTAATTTTATATTAATTTTTTTATTTAGCTTTTGATGATATTAATCGATTATAAAATCTATCAAAAAATGTATTTGTCAATTTTAAAATATTATATTAACAACGGCACGGCTCGGGGTTCTTGACTGTTATGACCATAACATGCGAAATGAAGTATGAAAACGTCAGAAAAAATATATAACTATCTGGCTGAAACCTATAAATCTGAAGGATATGTAGGTTTTGAAATGAAGGATCTGATAGTTCAAACCTACAAATCCTTCAGAAACTTTTTATTTCAAACTCTTATCCAACACCATTAGTAAATAAGATTTTGTTTAGCACTATCCATAACGAAGATACTTCACCTTCCATCGTGACTAACAATGCTGATTCTGATGTCTTAAGTGGGAATCCAGTCTCGGATACTCCTATCAATAAATATTTTTCATTAGCCTATTTCAGAGATATCACTCCGGGTTAACAAGGATTCTGAAAAGTGTTGAAAATAGCTTTGGGAATAATAATAATAACATTAAACTTAATGTGGCTTGTAGATCAGCCCTAACAATTAATAATCTTTATTCGAAGATAAAAGATAAGACTCCCATAGATAGGCTAAGTAATATTGTCTACAACATTCCATGCCTTTCTTTGCAGCAATTCCTACATCGGCCAAACATCTCAATTATTGAAATCACGTATTACACTACACAAAACTGATTCTCGACTTCACCCTGACCGCTGTGCATTAGCCAAACATGTCCATTCCACTGGTCATCTCATGGACTATACGAACACTACAATTCTCCACCGTGAGAATAATAAATCTAATAGAGAGTTCATTGAAATGTCTTATATTTTCCTTAACGATTTTTCCATAAATGTTAAGAGTGACATTAAGAATCTAAGCGATATATACCACTTCTTACTTAAATCAGATACCAAGAACAATACAACATCACAGATAACTAACTTGACTGATATATCTATTAACAACTAACCTACTTTAATAATAATTTTCATTAACTAAAAAAGATAACATTCCCTTGCTTTTCTTAGATACATCTCAATAAGATATTATTATAATAATACATGAACAATATACTAATTAAAAAAAGAATTTCAATTAAGAAAATTCGAAAATAATATCTCCCCAAACTGGGATCTAACTTCATCGGTTTTACCAATGAACCTTAACTACATAAATATTCAAAAGCCCTACTTGTAATTGTCAGCGCTTGCGTTCTAAGAAAACAGAACCTGACATTCAAACTTTATAACGATCAAAAATTTAGTTATTGCCGACAATTCAAAGAATCTTCTTCCTTTAAATGTAAACTTCCTTTAAATGTAAATACATTGGGTTTTTCGATTAACCTTGGGTAAACCTTTGCGTTTTAAGTTCAAAGCTACCATACATTTCCAACGTTAAAAAAAACTTTTTTGCACATAGTAACAAAAAAGACCACTATGTTGTTACTAGCTAAGTTTTTTTAACATCCTAACTCGACATTCCTAAAATTTACGGTAAGATAAATGTTTTTTATTAGATAATATATGGTAGCTAATTATAATTTATTCTCTTTCAACCCTTAAGAAGCCAAATTAATTTTGTTTTGTGAAAACGTTCGGCGAAATAATTGATACACATTAGAGTTTTTCTTTCAGATTTCCCCAATATTTAAGAGTTATAAGAGTATATATATATATATATATATAATATATATATATATATATATATATATATATATATATCATTGGAATAGAATATTTCACCGTGAATAACCTTTACGGTTAAGACAGTTTATTAAATAAAAAAGTAGAATATAACAAACATCTTAACTTTTTTTTTCTAGAGTTTTTCTTTCAGATTTCCCCAATATTTAAGAGTTATAAGAGTATATATATATATATATATATATTATATATATATATATATATATATATATATATATATATATATATATCATTGGAATAGAATATTTCACCGTGAATAACCTTTACGGTTAAGACAGTTTATTAAATAAAAAAGTAGAATATAACAAACATCTTAACTTTTTTTAATTAATCGTATCATATAGAAATATATTAATTATTATCACTAATCAAAATAAAAATTTAAAAACCCAGGAAACTGCACCGGTCTACACCCACTCTAATAATAGACTCCGGATATTTTATCTTTATCATATACGAATACTGATTGTTTATATTTATATATTACAAACAGAATTGGGACAAAATTATACATACATCTCGATTAACTATATCATTTTAATGTTAACCGGCAACGTCATTGATGGTGATTATGTACATTTTTGAGGTTGTCATTATCAAAATATATTTGTACATGGTGATATTGTGTCAAAATTGGTTATTGCTTCTCTACATATCCGAGAAATAGAAAGGTTAGTAAGTCTTATAATTATTATTTGTTACAATAATGGTAGTAGTACTGTTAGTACATGATCTTACCTGCGTATTGTCCGGTAAGCTGCCAAAACCTTTTAAAAATTTATTTTCAAAAATTGTGAGCGTATAAAATTGAGAAAACTCAGTTTTATAACCTCTTATTAAATTGGAATAACAAATTTGTTATTTAATATCGTGAAGTTTAATTTGACATTTTCTGTCAAAATATGGAAATATTACACTTTAATATACACAAACATTTCTGAAAATATTTTCTTCTTGCATTTTTTATTATACAGGAAGTTGTTCTCAAAATATAAATTGACAAAATATTGTTGTTTTGTATTTGGAAATAGAAAAATTTTTCTAATAATAATTTTATCTGATTCATTTATAATAAGAATTCAGATATATATTAAACATTCTAAAGTAGAAGACTTTAAAATGATTTTTCAGTATTTTTGAGGAGCATTCCTGAAAAGAATGCATTTTAGAGGTCACTATATACAACAGGTCTTAGAAATCCAAGGATTCAACAATTTTTTTTTCATTTCTTCCTGTCCTGTGTTTGGCTTTTCTAATTTTGTACCCTCAACAATTACACATTACCAGTTACCGGGTATATATTTTCTTCGGATGGGTAGTTTTTTAATTTTTTTTATCAGTCTCAATGTTTATTAATTTTTTGATAATCTTCCTTCTTTCATTATATAGCTATGTGACGAAGCCATTTTAATATTTGAATTTGAGCAGGTATCCTTATTTTTTGGTTGTATATATTTACATATATTAAAAATTACTGTGCAGAAAATCAATGTCCCTCTGATTACTATAGAAAACCTACTGTCTTACATGCTGAAGTCAAAGGTGCAATTAAATCGCGAAAGACAAGTAAATCCCCAAGCATTGATCCAATACCAGGTGAAATGCTACAGTTATTAGGTAATTAGGGATTACATAATCATCCATTCTATCTGTGTCGCTGTTTGGAATTCAGGAAAATGGCCATCTGATTGGTGTACCTCAATTTATATCCCGCTTCATAAAAAAAGAACTACTAGTAGATGTAAAAACTACCGCACACTGTCAATAATACCACATGCTAGTAAAATCTTGTTGCATATTATTAAAAATATATGCTTCGTTGACTACCAAAAGGCATTTGATTGTGTAAGCTGGTGACACTTATTAAAAATATGTACCAGTCCAATATAGCAACAGTACGACTAGACCAGAAGTTCTCCAACCAATTCAAGAAAAGGTGTTAAACAAGGATTCGTTTTGTCACCTATTCGACACTATTCAACTGACTATTTGAATGAGTATTTTCAATATTTCTTACTTGGTCTTCATGTCTTTATAAAAAGAGATTATTGCTGTGTCATCTGCATAACTTGCTGTTTTGGCTTCTGGTGATGTAGGTTAGTCGGCAGTAAATATCATGTTACAGCACTGGTCCGAGGACTCTGCCTTGAGGGACTGTAGCCATAATTGGGTAAGGTCTGGTATGCTTATTGTGATGTTTTACAAGGTAATTATTACCTAATTATTATTAAGATTTGGAAGTAATTGTTGGGAAGGGATTTTTTGATTTTGAGTACAAGGCCATTATGCCAGACTTTGTAAAATACCTGGGAGATATCTAAGGAGATTCCTGAGCAATATTTTCTGTTTTGTGATCTAGCCGATAGAGATTCTTTATTAATATACCTTTGATAAAGAAATTTTTAAATAATTAATAATTCTTTATTTACTAATATTGTAAAATTTCTATTTACTTTCTATCTAAAAAGCCAACTGCTACTTAATTCTACTAAGAAAGTTGCAATGCTCTTAAAACAGTGAGCGTAGCTACTTTAGTTTTTTGTTATTTTGCTGTCTCATATAATATGATCTGTCTATGTTTTTTCTATGTCTCCTAAAACCTCACATCCCAAAAACCTCCAGCTTTCTTATTAAATTAAAATTAACGGTCCAAGCTTCTACGCTACAAAGAAGAATTAAGTGGATATAACATTTTATCATCCGATATCGATTTTATAGATTTTGTCTTTGATTACTCAGAAATTTACTTTACATTACTAATCTTTATAAAGGCTACTCTTTCTATGGATTGCTAGAGAGACGAAACTGTCACTGAACCTCAAAAAATCATACAAACAAGCTGAATTTTGCTGAGAATTTTGGTACCGCAAAAAATTTTACTGCTCCTACCCCTCAACTTCCCTCCAAAACCATCCCTTGTAGGGGGAAAACCTAAAAAATTGATTTACCGCCAAAGTATCTTTACGCCGTAGAAAAAAATTTTTCAAATAAAAAATATAGCCGAGATAATTTCAAACAAAAATATTATATATATTATAAACACTTTTTTGTAAAATGAACCGTTCTCTCAGAAACAATGCTTGAAGCGACCGGGGGTTTTAATTATCATCTTTTGCTAAATAAACCCATCTTCTAGAGATGTTGGCGACGACAATGACCCATCTTATTCTACTCACAGCAGCTCGAAGTAGATCAGTTGATGTTAGACCAGTCCCTTCCTAAAATTGGCAAGCCAGAATATACGTCTACGTCCAGGGCCTTTCTTACTCTCAATCTTGCCTTTAGGAATCAACTGTAGAAGTCGGTATTTATCATTACTCATTATGTTGTTGAAGTAAGCAAATTTTCTGGTTTTTATGGTGTTAATAATTTATTTGTATTTTCTTATCCTCTGAAGAATAGCTATGTTACTTGTGTGGTGTACATATAAGACCCTCAACATACGTCGGTAGCACCACATTTCAAATGCCTCTGATCGTTTTATGGCATCTCCTGTAAAGCTCCAGCTTTCTACTCCATATAGGAGGATACTAAAACGTCAATTACGTGCGTGAAATTAATTTTAAAGAAAATGTGTATCAGTTTGTCTTTCTTTTAGTCTGTCTGTAATCTTTTTGTCAGAGTGTTATATCAACAAAAATAAAAATGCGTTATAAAGGTAAAGAGTAAAGTTTTTGTGTATGAAATTTTTGTGTTTTACCGTAAATAAAGTCAATTTTTATAGGTGTGAAGGAAATTAGCGCTACGCGATTTTCGCCATTTTTAACTTTACGAAATTATTGCTAGAGACCCTCAAGTTGTCAGACTAGTGCTATACCTTATATTCACTGCGGGCTTACCTACATCATCAGAAATCACAACAGCAACTGATGCAGATGACACAGTAATCTCGTCTCATAAACACCCAGCCGTATCATCATACAGTATACAGGCTAACCTAAATGCAATACAAAGTTGGCTAAAAATGTGGAGTCTACGAGCTAACGGAACAAAATCTGCTCACATAACATTTACAAACCGCAAGGGAAACTACCCTTCGGTATCGTTAAACGGTCAACTTTTACCACAGAAAGACGACATTATCCTTGGGAATACATTTGGATCGCAGGCTCACATGGAGAAAGGACATATTTACCAAGCGAAAATAGCTGGGCCTTAAACACAGCAAACTATATGGGTTATTAGGCACGAAGTCAAAACTGCCAATCGTCAACAAAATTTCAACATATAAATTATTTAAAAATCCATTTGCAGCTATGCAATTCTTGAAAGAAAGGTGCTACGCAAGATATTTGAAGCGGTCTGTGAGAACGGAATATGGAGGCGTAGATATAACTTCGAACTGCAGAATATCTACAAGCATACGTTTGGTGGTAAAGATATTACCACTATAATTAAGCGAAACCGCCTGCAGTGGGCAGGACATGTAGCCCGGGCCCCTGAATCGAACATGATAAAAGGTTCTAACAGCGCAACCTGTGGGAATGAGACGACGGGGTAGACCAAAGCTGAGGTGGATGGATGGGGTAACACAAGATGCGGAGAAAATCGGATTCGGCAACTGGAAAATTCAAGCAAGGGACAAAACAGAATGGCGTAGAAAGCTTGAGAAGGTCGAGGCCCTCTAAGGGCTGTAGCACCAAGATGATGATGATGAAGCTATGCAATTCAGCTATAAGGAAAATCAGCTAGATTTAGTATTGACATTCTTGAAAGATTCCAATCAAAAGTCCTTCGTATGATAACTAATGCTCTATGATATGTTCCAAGCAAGACGATCGCACTAGACCTCAAAAGGACAACTGTTAACGAAGTCACTAAACTTTGCCAACAATATGACCAGACACTAACAGACCCCTTAATAATCTTCGCCCAAAATTAAATGACACCAGAGTATATAATCCCCTAGTAAGGTAATTCCCATAGAAAGTTTTGCCGAAACTAATTTTATTTGGCGGCAAATTCAAAACGTAGGTTCTGAATTTGAGGCGGCAAATTCAAAAATGTGCTCTGAATTTTAGGCGCTAAAATTCAAAAAGTATGCCCTTAATGGAAAGTTGAGATTGTCATAAAATAAGAAATAAAAACTTATTCTATGCCAACAAATATATTCTCTTTGTCCAAAAATATGGTAAAACTTATACGTTTTTATAAATAAATGTATAACATAATATCTGATACAGGGAGATTATAGAGATATGAGAGAGTATTATGGTAGGAGAAAGTTCTTATTTAATATTTTATGATTATATCTGTTTTCCATTACATTATCAAACCAAAGTCCCAAAAATAACAAGATAAAACACAGATATCCTGACACTGGTTTATTTGTATAATTTTCTTTGGTAAAGTATTGGCAACAAAGATCCTCCTCTTCCTCATTCCTTAAGCCCTTGTTTGCGTGTTGTTAAGGCGTCGGTGGGGACATTCTAAGTATTGTTAGCTTGCTGTCTCCATTGGCTGCAAGTCTATACCAGATGGATAACTTCGTGAAGCGATTTTTCCACCAATCTTTATTTAATATTCCCATCGTGTTGGAGATCTTCCTTTTGATATACAAATATAGATGCCTCTATATTCATCAGTACTGGTTTGTTGTAAGTTCCATACCTTCTAAAATACTCTGCCTCAAAGGACCATCTGTAGATAATAAAGTGTAAACTATAGCATTTCTGCGATCTTGCTCTTTAGGATAATCACAAATTAGCATATAGGGCGTGAATTACAATGTTACCACTAACACATTTTTTGTTGTGGATACTCATAATTCGTTAGAATTTCTTCTTCTTCTTTTTGTGCCGTCTTCTAACGAAGGTTGGCGATCACTTCTTTAAACGCTTCTCGATCTTTTGCAACGTGAAATATCTGTTCAACCCTGAGGTTAGTCCAATCTCTGATATTCCTCAGCCAAAATTTCTTCTTTCTTCCCAAGCCTTTTCTTCCCTCTACTCTATCTTGTATGATGACTTGTAGCAGAGAGTATTTATCGTCTCGGAGTATGTGGCCCAGATACGATGTTTTTCTTATTTCAATTGTGTTCATAAGGTTTCTGCCATATCCAACTCGTCTTAACACTTCCTCATTTGAGACTTTTTCAATCTAAAGAATCTTCAAAATATGCCTATATAGCCACATGCCTCAAATTTTTTTATAGATTGGGCTTTCATAGTCCAAGCTTCTACCCCATATAGTAGTTGCGACCAAACATAACATTCGACGAACCTCAATCTGATGGCCATACTCAATTTCTTATTTGTAAACATTGAATTGTATTTTATAAAGCCTTTTCGAGCTATTTCTATTCTGACCTTTATCTCCTGCTCTTGATCTAACTGTGAGTTTATAATTGCTCCGAGGTATTTATATTTGTCGACTCTCTCTAGGGGTTTACCCTCCAATGTCAGTTGTATGTTGTCAACAGGGTTTTTTGAGATCACTATGTATTTGGTTTTATTTATATTAATTGTAAGTCCCATCTTTTTGCTTTCTCTCTTAATGATTTCCAGGAGAGTTTGTAAATCGTCTATATTCATGATTGCGGTATCGTCTGCAAATCTTATGTTATGAATGATGCTCCCTCCAATCCTTACACCTTCAGTTCTTTCCCATAATATTAGTTGGGAGTACACATTGAATAATTGTGGCGACAACAGACATCCCTGTCTGACTCCTCTTTGAATTTCCACCTAGTTTGTCTCACTATCTTCCACCCGTACGACCGCTGTTTAATTGTAGTACAGATTTTTGATTAAATTAATATCCTTGGGATCTAGGTGTATGTGTTACAATGCATGTATGAGTTTACCATGTTGGACTCGATCAAAAGTTTTTTGGAAATCTATATAACATATGAATACGTTTTTATTATATTCCCTGCATTTTTGTAATAGTACCGTCATTGCGCACAGTGCCTCTCTTTAAAAAGTAAAAAGTAAAAGTAAAGTAAAGTCTCTCAGTAAAAAGATAGATTTTAACCAATTATCCATGATTTGATCATCGTGGTATATTTTATTAAATAATTTAGTTAGACACTCTATATTTTCATCATTCAGGATTTTTAATATCTCTACAGAAATTTCATCGGGACCTGGCGCTTTACCACTTTTTGAGATTTTAATTGCCTGTTTAATATCTGATATCAAAATTTTTAGATTTTCATTGGTTGGTAATGTATCATTTATTTCTTCCCTATTATCTGCGAATAAGTCCTTGATGTATTTCTCCTAAGTTTGTTGTTTTTCTACTGCTGATAATTGGAGATCCCCCTTGGAGTTTCGTATAACTTGTGGTATTCTCTTCCGATTATTTCCTGTAATTTCTTTCAGTTTCTTATGTAGCCATGTGTGTCGTGTTTCATATTAAGTTCTTCTATTTCTCTACAATTTTCTACCATCCAGTGTTCTTTAGCTTCCTTGATCTGCGTTTCTACTAGTTTCTTCATTTGCTTGTACTTCCCTTTATTTGTATTTTTGTATTTTCGTTTTTCTTCTATGAGGTTTATAATATCTGGTGTCATCCAGTTTTTTTTTGGCAATTGGTTCTTTTTTACCCACAAACGTTTTACCAGCGTAAAGTACTGCCAATTTCATTTCGTTCCAGGCACTATTATTAACTTTTTTGACGCCTCTGCGAATGCTGGTGCAACTGCTTTAATTATTTGTTGTTGAAATTTTTCACCCTCAAGCTTTGACGAATCTAGTCTCCGAATTTTACTTTTTTTCTGTTGTTTTTTCAATTTAATATTAACGTTGGCAAGAAGTAGATTGCGGTCGGAGTCTGCATCAGCACTAGGATATGTTTTAACGCTTTTAATTCCATTTCTAAATCTTTTCTTGACAAGAATGTAATCGATTTGGTTTCTTATCAGATTATTATTGTTGTCTCCTGGTGCACTCCAAGTATAGAGTCTTCTTGGTGGTAATTGATAAAAGGTGTTTGTGATGACTAGTTCATTCTCTTGTCAATATTGTACTAATTGGTCTCCTCTTTCATTTCTAATTCCTAGACCATAATTCCCTACGATATCTTCTACTTTCCCTTTATGGACTTTGGCGTTAAAGTCGCCCGTTAGAATTTAGAAATCACTTATTGTAAATTTAAGTGGTGATTCTCGTAGAATTTGCTACAATATCTTTTTTTAAAACATTGTATAGTATAATTATTATTTGGGTAAATATGCAAAACTAGTAAAACCACGGTAACAGCACTTACATAAACGTCATAAGTCTCTTGCTATGTCATACCCCTCACCTAACGTGACTAGTAGCGCCACCGCCATTAAGAACGGCTGGGCCCATGCAAAGCACTCTTCTTACTCGTCCTATTTCACTTACACTACTATTTGTGATATAGACTTTGAATGATACAACCAATCGGACGCAGGCTCAAACAGAAGTCGACCCCAAGAACCCAAGTCGACCTGTTAACTATAAACTAGTCGGAGAATCCCTAAAAAATCTAAAAGCAGAAGCACAACCAAACCCTAAGACATACGTGACACTATTCCAGTGCCAAGAATAAGTACACAGGAAATTGTCAATGGGCAATTCTTTACAATACATTTTTTCTTTAATAGTATTTATATTGTTAAATATTGCTAGAAAATTTACTTATTGTAATTATATTACTAGTTGTAAATATATTGGGATATTAAATAAAAAAATGTTTATTTGTGTAACTGTGTGTTAAACGCATCTATTTTGAACTGCAGCCTAATATACAAGGCTGGTACTTTATTAGATTTTGTAGATTGGGGTTCTACTTTATTTTTTATACTTCTATGTGCGTTCCTTTAGCTCTTTCATAAGTTTCACGTTTTAAGAAGTTGCTAATTTGAGAAATTAAAGTATAAAAATTGTATATTAAAATCAGCCTCTGCGATCAAATGTCAAATAAAGAGTTTATTTTATATTTTGTGGTTAATTTTCAACAAGAGATAATAATTAATAGATAACTATAAGCGGCGCGTCAAGTCAGGAACTTTTATTAAATTCTTAATATTTTTAAACAAGGTTTTGAAGTGTATTTATTGGTAATATAGTATCACCCTGTATATTTTTATACTGTGCCAAATAATGTACAATGACTTCAGTTTACAACAAAATAAAAATAGTTGATTATTTTCAGGTCCGAAGATTAAAAGAACTAAAGGAACTATCGATCACTCCATTAGGGCTTGCGCAATGTCTGGGCGAATTCCGCATCGAGTTTCTCTATTTACCTCGAAGATGTAAAATGAAAACCAAACGCTGTGAAGCGCAGAAAAAATGTGAGAAAGTGTATTTTAGTTAGTTGCGAACAGTTTTCTTACGCATAAGACACAGCTTTAAATTATATTTAAATCGTTGATGTTTAAATAGTTATACGAAAAGTTAAAAATGGGAAATTTACAAACTGGAGAGACGAAATCTACAAAAAGCAAAATAAAATCTAAAGTGAAACTCGGAGGTAAGAAAAAAGGTAAATTAGAAGATAATTTTACTGCCGTAGTACCCGAAGATCAAGATGAACTATCAAATAATATTCCAACGACCTTCACGTCCATTCCCGAGAACGAAGTATTTAATAAGGATTATATACGAGGTAATAATCAATTAATCGACGACACTGGACAAAATTTATGTACTACAAAAAGATTTAATGATGTTTGCGACCAAAATAAACCTACCACACCTCAATCCAGTTCGGAATCGTATTTTACGAACCCACAAACGCCAGTCGGTGTTATCAACAACATCGAGAAACCCACCAAACTAGATATAGACCTACACAACGGTACAGAAACTTTTCTGCACAATTTAACTCTGAACAGTTTTAAGCTCAATGAGTACAGAGCCAGACATGAGGAAGAAAAGACTAAAAAACTTAGTAAATTAGGTGTTTCTAAGACGAGTCAAATTAGTTTAGATAGTGATCCAAATGAGTGTTTTGTATCTGACAATGTCGAAGTTGTCAGTCAAATTCATGCAGATAGTGGGTTCGTCGATCCTTTCTTGGAAAATGAAGAGAATGGAAAGTTGAGAAGTTTATCTTCAGGTGATGAACTCAACGACGTTCCACAAGTAGTTAGGAAAATGTCTGATGTTGGTGTTAAAAATGGTAAGTGATCTCATATACATATCCGTTTTATATTAACACTTTTATTTTAAAATAGTAACACATGGGCTTTTGCAACTTGTTAAATAACTTTAGATAGCACGCTTGTCTTATTATTTTTATATATTATTCTCTAGAATATTAACAATCTATTAACGGCCCATTTGCTTTATAAATTGCTACTGGTTGGATTATCCGGTATTTTCATTGAATTATTTCAGTTTTGCAGCCGTGATAATACTTGCTTTTATTGCTCTACATATAATAATTTTCAGTTAAGTAAGTTATAGTTTATGCTGAATAATACATCCAAAGTACGTTTATTTTTGCTCTATCCGTAAACTCCTTATGTATGAATGCACAATAAAACTGATTATAAATTGGCTGTATGCCGCAGAAAAAGGTGCATAATTAAATAAAAAGAAGAATATTTTCGATTGTGGGATGGTCCAGGATATTTGTAGTATATATCTTATTTTTTATTTAAAAATTATTAACAAAATTTTACGACAAAAACCATTGGAAAAAATAAACTGATATCAAAAATAACTTTAAAAAATGTAAAAGCGCTTTTATTAAATGCTGTTGCCATAGCTGGAAATTATTGGCTAATAGCAATCATGTTATTAAAGCCAGAGAATTTGCAATTCACAGGACAAAATATATATATATGATGAAACCTTCTTTCCGTTTGTTTCCATTCGTGCAACCTTCCGGCAAAATCTTTTAGTGTTAACGACTACTTATTACATAAAATAATTACTATAAATACATCTGACAGTGATTTTAGTGCAATCTCATCAGATGGTGAATAACTTCTTCTTTTTCTTCTACTTTTATATGAGGACGGCGTTATGCAGCACTAGACCAAACGCCCAAAATTGATTTTGAGATATTTGACTTCAAAGTTTTCACTCTATCAAAATATAGTATATTGTTACAATTGTCGTAATTTTTTGTTTTCAGAAGTGTGAAATAGTAACTTGCTAATGTTGAAAAAAAAAAAATAAAAATGCTTTTGGTTGACTTACGATTTTCGGCACATTGAATAATTGTGTCGACATGGAGGTCGTTTGGTCTGGTACAGCGTTTCCCCAAACTTATTTTTCCGTGACCCGGTTGTTTTTGTGCTCATACTTCTTAGCCCACTATTTTATTTGAAAACACTGGTGTGTTTGTACAAGAAAACATATTTAAATATCTATTACAATTTTATGTATTTTAATAAAAAATCATTAGCTTAAATAAACATATAATAAAACAAAATAAAACTCAAATACTTGATTACTGAAAAGTATGAAGTTATTTCTGGTTAACTAAAAACTTTATGTAGTTGTGTGGGTGTGTGTGTGTGTGTGTGTGTGTGTGTGTTGTGTGTGTGTGTGTGTGTGTGTGTGTGTGTGGTGTGTGTGTGTGTGAGTGTGTGTGTGTGTGTGTGTGTGTGTGTGTGTGTGTGTTGTGTGGTGTGTGTGTGTGTGTGTGTTGTGTGTGTGTGTGTGTGTGTGTGTGTGTGTGTAGTGTGTGTTTGGTAAGTTGGCTTAGAAACCAGTCCTTTAGCCACATAATTGTAATATAAGATATTAGTTTTTAAATATTGTATCCAACTTTAAAAAGAAAGTTAAATATTAGTGCGTATAATTCTCTACTATCTAAAGAGAGTCAATGGTTGATGTTTATGGGAGTCTGAATTTTAAGTTCTGGTAGTTTTGAATACAGCTGATCTGTTCATACTTATATTTATCGCACTTAAAACTAATATGTTTGATGTTAAATTATGATATATTATCGCATGAGCATATCCCAGCAGGGATAATATTTAACTTAGCCAAGTGAGCTGGGAATGCACCGTGATTAGTTTTCAGACTTATAATTGTGGCTGTCGACGTCTTTGGCATTGCATATTTGAAAATATAGGCAACATTTTGTGGTAAGGTAGGGTGGATGGAATAATACTGATTATTTGAATTTGTTGCTGTTTTTCCATTTTTCTTTCCATTTTATAAAACTTTATCATAATAATGTTGTTTTAAGTCTTCCAATGTGAATATAGAAATATATAGTTCAACATGGATCACATCTTTAGCAAGCTGGTCAACTAGTTCATTTCCCTCTACACCAGTGTGACTTTTTATCCAAATAACTGTAACATTTTTACTATATGTTTATTTTTAATAGCACAAAGAATACTATTTCTTATGTCATCTGAGTTTACCTTTTCGATCAATGATCTATATTTTTTCACTGCTTTACTATCGTTCAGCAGTATATATTGAACAATGTGATTTAAGTTTAATTTTCAAAGTTTCGCTTTTATGTAAACTGCATAACCTGTGGCATCATTCTCTTTTTTGAAACCATCGTTATACTATTATTACGTGATCATTATAGTTTATTACTGGGGATTATGTGTACTTTGGTATAATGACTTTTGGTTTATTTACATAATGGTACCTGAAAATCAGCTTTATATATTGGTGATCTTTTTTGTTTACCATAGATATTAGTGAACAAATTCCCCTTTGATGGCTCAGTGAAGATGTTCGTTTAGTTGTAATGGAAACACAAAATAATAGTAGCAGAGTTTATTGACGAGACGTACACTATGGGTGTTGACCCGGGATTACTTTGAGTAGAGACTGTTGCAGTTGAGCGTTGAAGACTATCACGTTTGTTGAGTGAATATTGATTGAATGCTTCTCTAGGCAAGAGATTTTAGTTTTATATAAGTTTTAATTGGGTCAACATATTCGCGGACCTAATGACATGTGTATCTAAGTTGTGTGTAAATTGTTTAACTTTCGTCAGCACTTTCGACTGATGTCCAAATTTTATTGTTGATAATTGACCAAATCTAATGTAACCTAATTAACTACGTGTGTGTATTTAATAAGAAATAAATTCATTCGGTCTACTGGGTGATAAAATTATACTGTCCAATTTCGGATATGAATTCTGAAGATTTGATATTGGACAATTAGAATTCTCATTAGTTTATAAAAAAATATCAGCAAGTGGAGTAGAATTTTTTATACGCCCGTATTTACTTGATGTTTTCAATAGATAACTGATATAATTGGCTAAGTAGTTTATTATTATTTAATCTTAGCTTCTGGATATGTTTAATTGTCATAATTTCTCGACGATTTTGAAGAGAGATTTTACTACTTTCAGCAAATGGAACATGGCAAGGAGTATACTTCATGGTACCCAAGCATATTCTTAGACATTTGAACTGAGTGCGGTCTACAGTTAATAAGTGTGTGTGTTACTGACGGCACCATACAGAATGCAACCATAGTCTACAATAGATCGCATGTAGGCTCTGTAAAACATCAGTGCAACTATAGGGTCAGCACCCCATCTACGATTAGTGAAACATTTAAGGATATTAATATCTTTTTCACCTACTTTTTATATATTTAACATGTTTTGATCATAAAAGTTTGGAATCAAGAAGAATGTTAAATATTTGTATTCTTTAATAATAGGTATATCATATCCAGACAGCTTTATTTTGTCGGGCGTACGAATCCTATGTGTAGTGAATATCATTATAGCCGATTTTTCAGGGGAAATGGTCAGTCCATGATTTCTTATCCAGTTATTAACGTTTTGTATGATGAATTCCAGGGCCTGCGGGCAATCAGTATACATGTTACGCTCTGTATAGATGCATATGTCATCAGCGTATTGGATGCAATTGATTGTGTTGTCAAAAATGCCATAAATACTTGCTGAAAATATGTTGAACAATAACGGACTTAAAACTGATCCTTGTGGAAGACCTGTATGAGCAATTCTAGGATCATCTGGAGGTCTCGATGAATATCACAGTTTCTGAAGTACCATGGAGCGTTAACGATGTTTCTTAGTAATTTATTGTGATATCGTTGTATAATTTGGATGTTCTTTTGTACAGCCCCATAGCGGTATCCCATATGTCCATATCGGTTTAAGGACTTGCTTATACAATAACAGTTTGTTATAAAAAGACAGAGTGGATTTTTTGCCTATCAACCAGTTCATATTTCTGAACTTAATTTCTAATCCCTCCTTTTGTTTCTTAATATGTGTTTTTCAACATAGCTTGGAGTCTAATGTCATACCCAAATATTTTGCCGTATTTGCATAAAGTATTTGGTTTCTATTTATACTAACTGGGATATGTTGTTCTCTTTTGTTAGTAAAATTGACACGAACAAATATTGTTTCATTTAATTTGATACGCCATCGCCTGGTCCAGATGTTAATTTATTCAACAGAGTTCTGTAGCATGGTTGCTGCATCCTCGTGGTTTTGTCCGACTGCTAGAATGCATGTGTGCGTCTACAAATGTCGCAATTGTGTTAGGCTCTAATGATGGAATATCGCTGGTATAGAGCAGGTATAGCACTGGACCCAGGATACTTCCTTGTGGAACTCCAGCTTTAACTTCTCTTAGTGCTTCCTCATATTTAACTCGAAAGTATCTGTCGGATCTATATAATTCTAGTAGTTGAAAATATTGTTTTGGTAAGTAGCATCTCATTTTATGATATAATCCATCATGCCACACCTTGTCAAAAGCCTGGCTCTATATCGAGGAAAATTGCGGAACAAACTTTTCCTCCTTCTAGAGCTTTTTCTACTATATCTGTTATTCTATGCACCTTATCTATAGTTGAGTGGCTTGCTCTAAACTTAACCTGATGATCAGGAATTAGATTTTTTTCTCTATAATTGGTTTTAGTCTCTTCAAGAGTAAGTTTTCGTATAATTTAGACATGACAGGTAATAGTGAAATAGGCCTATGTGAAGAAGTTTCTTGTGAAGGTCTTTCTGGTTTTAGTGTAATTATAATTTCTGCCACATTTCATATCTTTGCTACGTACCTCAGCCTAAGAAGCGTTTAGAAGATGTGTTAATTTTATTATATCTTTCCTTGGAAGCTGCTTTAACACTTCCCCAGTAATTAGATCAAATCCAGAAGCTTTAATTAGATTTATATTTTCTTTTATTTCCAA